GAAAATCCTTACCTGGTCAGAGAGAGGCCTAATTGTATTAGGAGATTTCTATATGCTACTAATTTCAAGTTAAGTAACCAGACATTGGTGGAGTACCTGGATTCCTCAGTAGCACAGGAATGAAAGTAAAAGGGAGCCCTTTGCATCACATGTGCTGAATACACAAACATCACATTGGCTGACACACTTGTAACCCCAGGAAATTAGTTAAAGAGCTAGAAATCTTCAATCAAACTAGTAACTTAGAGAAAATGTCTAGAATCTCACAAGACAGGACGAGTATTTACAGCTTCATTAAAGGCTACTAAATTACAGGACTCAAGAAAATCACTGGCAATCTATTCAGACAAGAATTCCATTTCTGCGGTTTCAACCACAAAACCTCTGTGGATGTGATACTGCATGGCAACTATGGAACCTACACCAACATTTTGGAGCCCAAAATATTTCTCTAGTACTTGGCTTGCAATACAGACCCAAGTAAACATTATGACATAGTCACCCTAGGCGATGTTGTCATCACAATCCAGCTCTCAAAGTCTCCCCATACTGACCCTCTGGTTTATTTTCAGGTGATATCATTCCTTTTACAAGGTGGTAGGAGAGTTAAATGAGCACTGATCTTGGAGTCAAGAGTTTAATGCCTTCTGATCAGGCATGGAGGGAAATTTGAAAGAAATGTTGAAATGTTGAAATAATGGAAGAATGTCAAGTAGGTTGAAAATTGGTTCTTAGAGTGTCCTTGAAATCAGAAGAACACCCATGACTATTTCTTATAGATTTTCAAATCTTTCCCTTCTACTTTCATACTTGGCTCACTTCATTCTCAGTGGTGTGACAAAGGAAAGCACACATTTCTACATTTTAAAGCATAAAAAAGTGACTAGACATCCTGTAATTATGCCAGTAGTTTCCAGGACGGGATAGCATCTATTTTTCATTCCGACCCCCAGACCTAAACTGAGTATCTTATATATACTTCTCTAAGGAGTAACATGCACATTTAAATGAAATGATTGCAAAGAGCTCTATCTGGCGTACAATCATTGTCCTCTCTATGTAAATAAAGACACGGACTCAGTGGTAACAAGCAATATAATACAATGTACAAGAATACTGATGGGAGGCTAGCAGCCAATATTTGAATCTCAGGCCCCACTGTTAGCTGTAACACTGGGCAAGATACTTAATTTTTCTCAGCTTCATTTCACTTATTTTTAAAACAATGATAATAGTAGTACCTATGTCCTAGGGCTATTTTGAACACACAAATATATATATTTGAAAAACTCGAAAATTCGGTGTGCCAAACCACCTATGTAGTAAAAAATCTGCTGATAATTTAAGTCAGCTTTCTGCATACGTGGATTCCCATCCGGGGGTCAAATACACTACATATATAGTACACACAAACATGCTTAGTACAGAGCTTGGAAAACGTTAAGTGCTCCAGAAATGTCAGCTACTTTTAGATGGCCTTGAGACCAATAAAAATATGAATGAACATATTTTGTTAAAGTATAATTTGTCATTATCTAGCTTAATAAATAATGACAGAAGGAAAAGGCCAATGAGACAGTTTAAATATGGAACTAGTTACTACAGAAAATTTTATTCAAAATATGTGCAACTTGTTTTTTTTTGTTATTATGAAAATAAGTTTCACATATTTTGAGTATCAGACAGACAGACCAAAGGATATATTGGGTCATCAGAAAAGTCATGATGCATGTTTGCTACAGGTGGCAGTAGTTCATTTTTGGAAGTATGAGAGTCATTTGCATCTATGTTATTGCTATGTCATTTGACATTTGACAGTTTAGCTTCATTCTAAAAAAAATTGAGCAATTTGGTTGAGTTTTAGAGATTTTACAAGTTGAAGATGGAAGACCAAAATGCACATTTTTGCCATATTTTACTGTTTTACTTCCATAAAAGGAAGAACACGCATTAAGCTTGTGAAAAGTTGCATAAAGTTTATGGTGACATTGCACTACAAGAACATCAGTGCCAACGATGGTTCATGAAATTCCATGCTGGTGATTTTAATCTCAACAATGCTCCTAGGTCAGGGAGGCCCACCGAGGTTGATGACGACAAAATGAAGGTATTGATCCAGTCAAACACATGTTACACGACATGAGAGATTGCAGAAACATTGAACATCCATCATTCAAGCACTCATGACCACCTGAAGAAGCTGGGATACATAAGCAAGCTTGATATTTGGGTTCCGCATGAACTCAAAGAAGTTCATTTGACGGCGCATATAAACATTTGCAATATGCTCATTAAATGTGTGGAAAATGATCCTTTTTTGAAGCGACTGATAACTGGTGATGAGAAGTGGATTGTTTACAACAATGTTGTGTGCAAACGGTCTTGGTCCCGATGTGATGATTCTCCTCAAACGACATCGAAAGCAGACATTCATCAGAAGAAGATTATGCTCTCAGTGTGGTGGGATTTTAAAGGTGTCATGTTTTTCGAGCTCCTACCAAGGAACCAAACAATCAATTCGAACGTGTACTGTTGGCAACTGGACAGTTTGAATGAATCCATCATCCAGAAACGTCCAGAGCTTGTTAATTGTAAAGAAGTTGTGTTCCATCGTGACAACACGAGACCACACACAAGTTTGATCACCCATCAAAAATTATTGGATCTTGGATGGGATTGTTGCCACACCCACCATACTCGGCTGACTTTGCGCCAGCAGACTTCCACTTGTTTTGCTCTCTTCAAAACTCCTTGCGTGGTATAATGTTCAATTCAGATGAGGCTGTAAATCAGCACTTTATTCAGTTTTTCACAAATAAAGACAGGTCCTTCTATGAACGAGGAATTATGAAGCTCACTGAAAGACGGCAAAAGGTTATGGAACAAAATGGGCAATATATCATTGATTGATCTTTGTTCTTTATATAAATAAATGACCTTTGAAAAACATAGACAAACTACGTCATGACTTTTCCAACAACCCAATACAAGAAAAAGTCTTCCTCTTACTGCAGAACTTCAGTTTCATTCTACAGAAGTAACTACACACACCTACGTGTGTGTGTGCATGAGTGTGTGTATAATACTCCCTAATTTGATTTCCTGATTTCCTTCTTGTTCCTCTAACAGAAATTCTTCACTCAGCAGCCAGAGTGAGTCCTAAAAACATTATGTCATATAATTTCCTTGCTTAAAACACTCCGAGCGTCTCCCATTGTACTTAAGTAAAATAGAAACCCCTCACTCTGGATTACAAAGTGCTACCTAGTCTGGCCCCTGCCTTTCTCATCATATTTCCCTCCGTTCTTGCCCAGTTAAGCTCCAGGTGCACTGGCTTTTCTCTCTGTGTGATGAACATTCAGGCTCATTCCTGCTTCAGCTCCTTCCCACGGCTTCCTCTGCTTGGCATGTTTTTCCTCCTGAACTCTGCATCATTAATTCTCCTTTTATTCATATTTCATGTAAATGCTGGCCTCCCGAGTGAGGACTTGGCTGGCCATACAACTCCCATAGCCACCCAATCATTCTCCATTATCTCCACCTAGTTTGAGTCTCCGTGTAGCATTTAATACTACTGTATATTTTTCTGACCTGTGTGTTATTTTTTATTCATCCATCTGTTTATTTATGTAATTCCTCATTTCCCTGTTCCCTAGAATGGAAGATCCGTGAGAGCAAGACTTGGTCTTGTTCATTCCTGTGCCCTTTTCACTGAGAAAAATGTTGGAATATAATAAATGCATAATAATGCTTAATAAATTGTTGTTGAAAAAAACTGAATGATTAAGATAAATGAGGTTATTTAGGTTCCTTTCCCAAGTAATTTCAAAATGGTGTTAACATTGTCGTGGCACATACATCTTTGCACATGTCCAATTAAGTGCCAAAAGTTTAATTATCGACTCAAAGGTATGTGCAATTTAAACTCTGACAGTTATTTCCAAATCACCTTTTAACAGAGTTATACCAATTTACATTTTGAGTGGATTTCTTGAGTCTCCTTTTAAGTGTCTTTATGACGTGATATTGGAGATACATTCTCTCAATTTAGACACTGAGGACACTGTATGATTCCATAACCTTGAAATGCAAACAGGATAGCAGAAGTGCAGAAGTCCACATGGGCCTTGTAAATAGCTGAAAAATTTACATGTCTACAGTTACCAACAATGGGAGGCGTTACTATGAGAAGCATGCCTCAGTTTCAAATGTCTCTCATTACCCAGGAGTCTTGTGTTTGGATCTTTAGCAGTAAACAAACGTCTTCCCAATCAACATTCATTATGCCCTTTTTCAAGTGTGCAAGTGTAATTTAAAAATAACAAAAATCTTACTAATCTTACTGAGACACAGGAAAACACATGATGGCCAAAACAGGTAACCCTGTCCTAAAAGGTTCTCAAATTTCATGAGTTTACTTCTCTCCACTAAAGGTTTATTTCTTTTGCTCTTTGAGTCATCTATGCTAACAACCTCCGAGTTCTTTGTAGCAGTATCTGGAAAACACACTACTGATGAATTGATATGTACATGTTAATTTCTGTTTAACTATAGCAACAAGGCCACTGAGGAAACTGGGTACAGACTGGTTCTATGGGCTCACCTGTGCTATTTTGAAAGACACCCTCTCTCAGTGCAAAAGCAACCAAATAAATTCATAAGCAACAGCCATGAGTATGCCAGAAAATGAAACCAGACATACGTACAAACAGCCTCCACACCAACACCATTCCGAAAATTCTGCCAACCTATTTCACCGAGAGACACCTTTAAATGAAATACCAATTTTCAGCAAAGGTCACCTAAACATATGTAGTTTAAACACATAAGACGTTCTCCACCCCTCATCTCCGTTACTCGAGAGCAGCATATTCTTGCCTTAGAAGAGTTACAGCATTGGAAAGAAACTGCCCATTTAATAGAGAGACACCAACTCTGGATTCGCCATGTACCTAGGTAAAGCATCCAGCTTACTAAATAGGGAAACGTGGGGTACTTACAGCAGGGTGTCCAGTGCAGTAGGTGTAGCTGGCATGGGACTGGTAGTGCAAGCTTGCTCTTGGAAAGGAGTATGTATTCCAGGCTGGTTGGCTGCTATTCCACTGGGAGCTGAAGCCGGGGCTCATGGTCACTCTTGACTTACTCGTTTGATAGGCTCTCACTGTGGAGCTAGACTGTCAAGAAGAAAGGCATGCAATGTAAAGACAGCTGTGCATAAAACCCAATTCAGCTGCATACACATACATACACACACACACATACACACACACACACACACACGTATATCTCTATCAGCATCCGTTCTCATGAATGATCATGGCACAGAACTCAGCTGGGTAAGGGAAATGGCTGATGTCTTAAGAGGAGGCATTAAATATTGTCCGGATTAGGATAAAAGTGTTTTCTCCCCATTAGAATTTAGACTGGATCACAAAGCACCAGGGCTCACTGAAACTGATCTTATGGAAAGCAGTTTCCTGGGTTTTTTTTATGTTTTCCTAGGTACAACAGGCAACTCCAGCCTTCAGAAATGAGATCTGTTGTAGTGGTGACAGCAACAGTGATATTTTCAATTACATAAATTTCCTTTCATCACAGCACTAATCTTAGAAATTCACCATTAGCCTCATCTGAATGCAGTAAACAAAGATCAGTTTATGAAGACTGGATTGAGGCACAGATTGGCTTTTGACACTAAACTGTCTTCAAGTTTCATGAGATTATTGATCTCTTTTAGAAGACATCAGCAGAAATCTGAATATATTTCAACAGTACCTAGACAGTAAAATGATAGATTTGAAGTTGTCATTTACTCCCAATTGGCTCTACTAATGTAATTAAGAATAGAGAAAAAGGTAACTATCTATAAATTTGCCAAATGTTAAATATATCTGCTTGCTCATAATTGCATATAGGGTAGAATGAACTAAAAACAAAAGTCGCTTGTATCTTCTGTCCTTCTTTGTCCTCAGATGGCCATGACATATAAAGCATATAATAGTTTCTTTTCAGAGAACACTTTCTATCATCAAATTGCAATAGCTACTTACCCAAGTAGCAGAGTAACTTTCACAATAAATTCTATTTATAAATCTATGGACACATGCCAACTCAATCACTGGGAAAATGTGCTAATCTCATTGCCATTATATTCAGGAAGCTTAGTGGGGAAGAAACTTTTATCTGATATTGTGTTTCCCATTGAGCTAGATTCTGATACCATTACATACTTAGAGGAACAACTTTTATGAAGACAGATCTGGGCATCTGAGAGTAACCAAAGGAAAGTAAGGACCGCAATAATTCAAAGACACTTTCTTTAGCCTCAAAATACTTGGAAAGGGAAAAGAAAACATAAATCAATGATTTACAGGTAAACAATTTAAAATATTTAAACCCCAAACAGGAGAAGACAGCCTTGTTAAGGCAGACACATTTATTTGACTGTCATTGTCCATCACCCTAACTAACTGCGTGTGCCATCCAAGGGTTCAATAGTTCCATGAGAAGGACAGGTGCAGAAATGCAGAGGTATACACCACTGCACTGCTCCCCAGGACAAACCTGTGTTGGAAAAGTAATAGTGGGCTTTTATAACATTAGGGTGTTTGTATTTGGTTCTAAGAATGAAAGCTCATTATTATTATATTAAAAAACAAAACAAAAGAAAAATCTTTATTTGTAACAGGTATGCAGTCACTTCACAGACTAAATAAGCCTGCCCACAAAACTGCCTTTGGCCCCCAAAGTGACTTGTTTTCTGCTCTGCATCTATGGTCACTAAAATTAATCACTCTCACTAGTTCAATAGATTGATTCTATGGGTAACTTTCTCAAGACTAGACCTGGTCTGGTTCTTTATCTGTTTTCACATTTAGATTAGCTCAGGGAGCTTAAAATTCTTGAAAAAGGCAGACAGTGCATGCATAAGTAAGTTTGTAAATACCCTCATCTCTTAGTTTAATTATGTTCCCAGATAGCTTCAGTCTCTCCTCAACGATTTCATTCAGGGTGGTCTTCCTCATGCAGATTCCTTTCTCTACCTTTTTTGCAAAATTTATGCTCAAGTTGCACCTCTGCCTCTAGCTTATGCTGACCCCTTGCTTTCCTGCTATTACATAGCTCTCACAATGCCGCTCAAACATTTTCGCATGTGATTATGTTGTTTTGTATTGCTTCTCACATATGTAAATTTCAGCTCTTCAACCAGGCTGAGGGTCTAATGAGGTCAAGATCATGTATTGCCTTTCCCACAGCTCAAGGAGTTTTCATCCTCCTTGGCCTCTGAAGGCTCTACCAGTGTTGATCCCCTCATCATTCAATAACCTTTCTCTGACTCCCTGACCCTCCTGACAGCACCGTCTTATCTCACCTACTTGCCTGTCTTCCTTTTTGTTCTCTCTAAATGATGTCTTTTGCCAGGTGTACAGTTCTATAATACATCATTTGTACATTGCATTGTGTTCACCACCCAAAATCAAATCTCCTTCCGGTGCTATATTTGACCCCCTTTACCTTTTTCTACCTCCTGCCACCCTCTCCTTCCCCTCTGATCATGTCCATACTGTTGTCTGTGTCTATAAGTTTTGGTCTTGTTCATGTGTTGCTATCAGTTTTATATTCCACATATGAGTGAAATCATATGATCCTCAACTTATTTTTCCATCTGACTTATTTTGCTTAGCATGATATTCTCAAGGTCTATCTATGTTGTTGCAAATGACAGTATTTCATCTTTTCTTATGGCTGAGGAGTATTCCATTTATATATAGACCACATCTTCTTTATCCAATCATCTTTCAAAACACACTTGGTTTTCATGTCTTGGCCATCACAAATAATGCTGCAATGAAAATAGGAGTTCATATATCTTTATGAATAAATGTTTTCAATTGTGGGGGGTAGATAACCAGAAGAGGGATTGCTGGGTCATGTGATAACTCTATTCTTAACTTTTTGAGGAACCTCCATATTGTTTTCCATAGTGGCTATACCAACTTACATTCCCACCAGCAGTGTGAGGGCTCCTTTTTCTCTACAGCCTCTCCAACACTTGTTATTGCTTGTCTTTTTGATAATAGCCATTTTAAAATGTATGAGTTGGTATCACATTGTGGTTTTGATTTGCATTTCCCCAATATCTTGTGAAGTTGAGCATCTTTTCATATATCTGTCGACTGTATGTCTTCTTGGGAGAAGTGTCTGTTCAGGTCTTCTGCTCATTTTTTTAATTGGATTGTTTGTTGTTTTGTTGTTGAGGTGTATAAGTTCTTTATATATTTTGGACATTAATCCCTTCAAAGGCGTTGTTTGGAAATATCTTCTCCCATCTGGTTGGCTGTCTCTTTGTTTTGTTGATGGTTTCTTTTGCTGTGCAGAAGCTTTTTAGTTTGCTATAGCCCCATTCATTTATTTTTGCTCTTACTTCTCTTGCCGTTTGAGGTCAAAATCATAAAATCTTCTCTAAGAACAATGTACATAAATTTAGTACCTATGTTGTCTACTATATATTTTATTGTTTTAGTCTTATATTTAGGTCTTTGATCTATTTTGAGTTAATATTTATGTATGGTGACAAATAGCAGTCTAGTTTCATTCTTTTGCATGTGGATTTTCAATTTTCCCAGCACCATTTATTGAAGAGGCTTTCTTTTCTCCATTGTGTTTCTGGCTCTTTTGTCAAAAATTATTTGCCTATATATATATATATATATATATATATATATATATATATATATATATATATATATATATATATATATGGGTTATTTCTAGGCTCTCAACTCTGTTCCATTAATCTGTGCATCTTTTTTTCTGCCAATACCATACAGTTTTGATTCCAGTCACTTTGTAGTATAATTTGAAGTCAGGGAGTGTGATACCTCTGGCTTTGTTGTTTTTTCTCAGGAGTGCTTTGGCTATTCAGGGTCTTTTGTGGTGCCATACAAATCTGATGATTTTATTGTTGTTTTTTTTTCTATTTCCTTAAAACATGCTTTTGGGATTTTGACGGGGATTGCATTAAATCTTATATTTCTTTGGGTACTATGACCATTTTAACTAAGTTAATTCTTCCAATCCATGAACACAGAATATCTTTCCATTTCCTGGTGTCTCCTTCAATGTTTTTAATAATGCCATGTAGTTTTCAGTGTATAGATCCTTCACATCCTGTGTTAAGTTTATTCCTAGATTTTTTTTTTTGCAGTTGCACAAGAAATTTTTTTTCTCACTTCTTTTTCTGAAAGTTTACTCTTTTAACTTCCCTCCTTTGTACTCTTATTTATGGCCAAAGCTTTAAGTATTGCTTCCAAGAAGATGACTCTCAGATGTAATTTAACAGTCCAAACTGTCTCCTAAATTCTAGCCTCAAATCTTAAAATACTTGCAGGACATGGATGTATAACAAGCATTCACCACAAATGGAACCATTTAAATTATTGTGTATAAAATGAAATGAATTGTTTTATTCTAAAATTTCATCTCCCCATAATTTATTTATTTCTGATAATGTTATGGCGATATTTTTAAAACCAGCTGCCTTGAAGCTTTAGATCAACTTTGACTCATATATTTGTCCTCCAACTTTCTAGGATCAGTGTCACTGAATCTTATTGAATCTTTTTAATAGTCTTGAATTGATGTCCTTTCCATTCCCATTACCACTGCCCATCTTGAGGATTTTATCAGTTTATATCAGTCACCTAAACTGCCTTCTAACTGAAACCTTGATTGATCCATCACAACGACACTGCGTTAGCTTTGCTAGAAATCTACTTGCACTGTGTTACTTCCTGCTGAAAAATGTCCAATGGCTCTCCACTGTCTGAGAAAATGTCCAACTTTCCTAGGCTTTCATTTTAGAATCCAATTTGATCTTAACCAACAATTCAAGGCATATTATTGTTTTTTTGTCACTTTCCTTATAATCTCAACCTCCAAAAAGACTGCTACTCCAAATATGAGGTATACATGTATGCCATTGTCACAACCCATCTACTTCCTAGATGTCCTCCCCTGCTCTCAGTTCAGGCTTTAATATCCCTACCAGACTCTACCTTTTCTAGAAAACCTATTGCAACCCTCAGCCACCAATCCATAGGGATTTTTGCTTCTACTAGACACTGGCATTACTGATTTTCTGTGATATTCATCTGGTCCTTTCATCATTTGT